AGCTTCACTTTTCACCTCCATATTTTATGGCTTATTTTGAGTTATGAAATTGTCTCCTGATGCATAGGTATTTTCAGTCTTTTGTAATTGTTAACATTGCTTCAATAAATAACTTGAGCATTACATTGTATGGGTTGGAGCAGTATGTCTGAGGATAAACTAAAAGTGCAATGCTTGTTTCAAAGAGCAAAGGTCTTTACAGGATACATAAGATTTAAGAGTTGTTTTTTGCCCCCTTTTAAAAAGTTAGTGTATAGTAATTGTACACTGGATTCATTGTGTTACTTCTTTAAATGCTGCATATAACATGCTCTGATAAAAATCATCCCCTCTGTTTCTTATTCCCTTCCTCTTTTATTGAACAACTTTTAATGGGCTTCATTATTGTTTTCAAAAATGCACATGAAATATTTTGATCAGGATCTGCTTTCTTAAACACCATCCCCAAGATAAACCTGCATTCTTAAAACTTTGCATACAACATTGATAACATTCTCAAGTTATAAATGTTCTTCCTATAAACACAGGCAAGTTAGTTTTGAAGAAACGAAATTATAAGCTTATAAGTTTACTTTTCAAAATTAAGTTTGCATACATCCTGAACTCAGGGTATTAAAAAGAATGGGAAGGTAGCTCAGCGGTAGAGTGCATGCCTTGCAAGCATGAGGCCCTGGGTTCGATTCCTCAGCACCACATAAACAGAAAAAGCTGGAAGTGGCGCTGTGGCTCCAGTGGTAGAGCACTAGCCTTGAGCTGAAGAGCTGAGGGACAGTGCCCAGACCCAGAGTTCAGGCCTCATGACCGGCAAAAAACAAACAAACAAACAAAAAGAATGGCAAGCTCTGCCTCTTGAGACTTGGAAAACAAGTTAGATATATATGATTTAATTGTAAATACCAGGCAAGAGTCTGAAGTTGCTCAACAAACTGGAAATACAAGTCCTTAAGAATGATATGGAGGGCTGGGAAGGTGGCTCAGTGGTAGAGTGCTTGCCTTGCATGCATGAGGCTCTGAGTTCAATTCCTCAGCACCACATAAGCAGAAAAAGCTGGAAGTGGCACTGTGGCTCAAGTGGTAGAGTGTTAGCCTTGAGCTGAAGAGCTCAGGGACAGCACCCAGGCCCGGAGTTCAGGCCCCACAACTGGCAAAAAAAAAAAAAAGAATGATATGGAAAATGCTGTAAATTTTTCCCACAACACTGTTCATTCTTCATTAGAAGGGCAGAAAGAACAAAATGATGTGATGTTAGGAGAATCAGTTTTTTTAAAAATCAATTTTAAGAGATTTTAAAGTAAATCTGGAGGCTTGGGCTCAAGTGGCAGGGCATTGCCTGAGTTCAAACCCTGATAGGAAGAGTAGAGGAAGAGTAGAGGAGGGAGGCAGAGAGTTGTTTCTGAACCCACCTTAATCATCTTAATTGCCATCTAGTATTTTCCCTACTGATATGCTTTATTGCTACATTAAAACTAATAAAAGTACCCATTGGTATATAATCTTTAAATTTTAAATATATATGTGTGTGTGTGTATATATATATATACACACACACACACACATATATATATATACAGCCCTATTAGAGATATACCTGTAAGCAGTTTGGAGTTGATTGCAATTAAGCCTGAAATAAACTATTCTACAGGAGTTAGAAAGGTAGCTGGGTGCTGGTGGCTCCCGCCTATAATCCTAGCTACTCAGGATGCTGAGATCTGAGGATTGTGGTTCAAAGTCAGCCTCTGCAGGAAAGGCCGTGAGACTCTTATCTCCAATAAACCACTCAGAAAACCAGAAGTGGCTCTGTGGCTCAAGTGTTAAGAGTGCTTGCCTTGAGCTAAAGAGCTGAAGGACAGCGCCCAGGCCCAGAGTTCAAGCCCCATCACAGACCAAAAAAAAAAGAGAGAGAGGTTAGTCAAAGAAGGATATAGATTATAGAAGGTCAACATTAAGAAAGGCCTTAGAAAGTAATCTGGTGACTGATTTGGGGCTGAAACTTACATTTATAACTTGCACAGTTCTGAATGCATTCTCCCCAAACTACTTGTGCTTGGGAAAAAACAACAGCTCAGGCATGGTACCACACACCTATGATCCCAGCACTCAGGAGGCTGAGGCAAGAAGATTGCCAGCTTCAGACCACTCTTAGTACATAGTGAAACCCTATCAAAATGGAAAACAGTAGATTCTGCACAAAGTTTCAAGTCTGTGCCATGAGAAGGAAAGAACCTGATCTGGTACTTGATATAGTACTCAAATGTGTTTAGGAGGAGGAGAAAAGTGAAGTGACTTAAAACATGATTTTTTCCCCCATGTAGATGTAATTTGTTCCCTTTAAACTTTACAGAACTTCATCTTCATTTCTTTTAAATATTTTATGTCCTTACTGTGTATATATTGTACCTCTAGTCAACCTCTTAGCTCTTCTACAGGGTCTAGTCCTGATTTATTTCTATGCTCTACTATGCACAAGATTTTAAATAAGTAGGTGCTAAGTGCTAAAACAGATTTGTATCTGAAACAGTTGCCACATTCTGATTATCTTACAGACCAGTTCCAAAGGAGAGAATTGTTTACCTGAGCCTTCCTCAACTTCATCAGAGTTCAGGTTCTGTGTGGAGAAAAATCTGGAAGGCATGGGGCTGGGAAGTTGGCTCAGTGGTTGGCTCAGTGGTAGAGCGCTTGCCTTGCATGCCTGTGGCCCTGGGTTCGATTCCTCAGCACCACATAAGCAAAAAGAAAAAAAGCCGAAGTGGCACTGTGGCTCAAGTGGTAGAGCGCTAGCCTTGAGCTGAAGAGCTGAAGGACAGCGCCCAGGCCCAGAGTTCAGGCCCCTCGACCACACCCAAAAAAAAAAAAAAAATATGGAAGGCAGATGATTGCATTTGAATTGCTCTTTGCTCAGTTCAAAGTCCCAAAGTCATGTTTCCTGTTTAAATTCTAAGTTCCCAAACGTTTAACAGGAAGATCTGATGGAAAATAGGAATAGGAGTTTTCCACTATATTTGCAGAGAAATGTATCAGATTAGGGCCTGGGAGAGAAAGGAGTAGCCAATGAATGCTTTTTAAAAAAAAATTAAAAAAAAAAACTGGTCCTGTGGCTTGAACTCTTGAGCTATTTTGATGAAAGCTAGCATTCTATCACTTGAGCCATAGCTCCACTTCTTACTGTTTTTGCTTAATTGAAGTTGAGTCTCTCAGACTTTCTTGCAGGAGCTGGCTTGCTTTGAACTGTGATCCTCCTATGACAGCCTCCTAAGTAGTTACAATTACAAACATGAGCCAGAAGCACCCGACCAAATTCTTAAGTTTTAAGCACTCACTTTGAAAGTTGAGATACAACAATAAAGACAACAAATTCTTCACAACGCCTAATGTTTGCAGGGGTGGAGGTTAAGTCAGACAATAAACAAGATAAACCTGATATGGTGTATCAGGTAATGTTCAATATTAGAAAAAGAAGCACTGAAGGGACAGATAAGGATTTCTGTTTCATTTGTTTTTGTTTGTTTTTTGGGTCTGGTCTTGGGGCCTGAACTCTGGGCCTGGGCGCTGTCCCTCAGCTCTTCAGCTGAAGGCTAGCACTCTACCACTTGAGTGTCAGCCCCACCTCCGGCTTTTTCTGCTTATGTGGTACCGAGGAATCGAATCCAGGGCCTCATGCATGCAAGGCAAGCACTCTACTACTGAGACACCTTCCCAGTCCCTTGTTTTTGTTTTTTGCCTGTCGTGGGCCTGAACTCTGGGCCTAGGTGCTGTGTCTCAGCTCTTCAGCTCAAGGCTCGCACTCTACCACTTGAGCCACTTCCACTTCCATCTTTTTCTGCTAATGTGGTGCTGAGGAATCGAACCGAGGGCCTCATGCATGCAAGGCAAGCACTCTACCACTGAGCCACCTTCCCAGCCCCTCTTATTTTATTTAGCGAGGTCAAAGTAAGCATTTCAGAGAAGATGACATATAAGAGGAAAAACAATGATGTAGACCATAATTACCTTCTGTGCTTTGTAATCCCAGATTCTAGTTATTTGTTGGTAGTCTGTCCCAATTTGGCATAACTGGAACACAGCATAATAATGAAGAACTTCTTTAGGTAATGTGGAAAGAATTCAGGCCAATCGGAAACCAGGCAGAAGATAGCAATAACCTCTCTGTTTTTGTTGTTTTTAAATTTTCCTTTGTGTTGTTTGAACGAAGGGCCTGGGCACTGTCTCTGAGCTCTTTTGCTCAAAGCTAGTGTTCTACCACTTGAGCCACAGCTCCATTTCCAGTTTTTGGTGGTTAATTGAAGAGTACCATGGACTTTCCTGAACCGGCTGGCTTTGAGCTGCGATCCTCAGATCTCAACCTCCTGAGTAGTAAGGATTACAGGTGTCAGCCACTAGCACCTAGCTCAATGTTTTATTTATTATTTTTTGAGGTCATAGGGCTTGAACTCAGGGCCTGGGCACTGTCCCTAATCTCTTTTTGCTCAAAACTTGCTCTCTACCGCTTTGAGCCATTGTTCCATTTCCAGTTTTCTGGTGGTTAATTAGACATAAGGGTCTCACGGACTTTCCTGCCCGCGGTTTCCAGTTTTCTGGTGGTTAATTAGACATAAGGGTCTCACGGACTTTCCTGCCCGCGGTTGGCTTTAAACTGTGAAGCTCAGATCTCAGCCTCCTGAGTAGTTTAGGATTACAGGTAGTGAGACACAGCTTTAGCTCAATGTTTTGATTTGTGTTCTGAGGTGAAGATCTCTATATATCTCAAGTTAAACACTTGGAACAGTTCTCCTATCTCAGCCTTGAGAGTACTGGGATTACAGGCGTGAATCACGCCTAATCTGGCTATATTTCACCAATTGGAAGATTCCAGCCCGAGTGGTAAATAAACAACAGTCACAAAAATCCCCACAGGTTCCGGTCCCTTTAAAAATGGCGGCTCAGCAAGGACCAGCGATCTCATTGGCTGCACGGGGCGGGGGCGGGCACGCGGCGTCGCCGGTAGTCATGCCTCCTACGGCGAGTGGGAGGCGGCAAGATGGCGGCTGCTGAAGAAGGCCTTGGTGTCGGGGTTGAAGCGGACCGGGAACTGGAAGAGCTTCTGGAAAGTAAGAGCTGGTAATGGGAAAAGGTCCGAAGAGAACGAGGGTGAGGACTCATTCAGGTGGTAAAGTGAACCTGAAATATTTGGGGGCGGGGCGGGAAGGCTAGGACCCCAGGAAAAGCTCGGGGTCACCCTGGCCCCTCCGCAGCGGGAGCTGGAGAGGGCACCTGGACCTTTGGCCAGTTCTGACCCCTGTTCTCCCTGCAGAAAGGGAGACGGTAACTGGTACAGAGGTGTCTTACGATCCTGCCCCAAACTTCCCTTGCTTTAGATTAGTAAATTATTGAAATCTAACTTTTCTTGGGCTAGTTAGCAACATCTGATGGCTGCGAACCACATAGCCCCCATCACGGGATGCCCAGTGCCTTGTCAAATCTTCCTTCACACGGGTCTTCCTTAACATTTTTTTCTTTTTTTTTTTCCTCCCGGGCCATTACAGTTCTGTCATGTCAATAGCTTAAACAGCCTTCTTTTCCACTATTTTGAGAAACTAAGGGTGGAGCCGTCCTAGTGAGGACAGTTCATCCTCTTGAAAGATGGTAGATGTTCTTTTCATTCTTAGCCTACTCCTCCACTCTTTCCTGACCATGTCCTTTCCCTAGGCTTGGCAGACAGAATGTAGTGGTGACAACACAGGCTTTCAGGACAGAGGTGAAAGTTTTTTATCTCTTGCACAGTCACAGAGATGTGGGCAGGCCAAAAAAAAAAAAGAGCAGAAGTCGTGAGGAGTGCCAAATAACTCTGAATTAGCAGTGAGTTATCTGCAGGGATTAGGCCAGTAGGAATTTTAGGAGCTTGCTGAAGGAAAAAGAGATTTTAGTATAAGATAGTTAAATTCCATGGAATGTATTATGGAGTGCCTCAGTTTCCACTAGTACCAGGACCAGTGGGTACCACCAGCTGGGTGGGATAGCTTGTGTTTTCTTTTCAAGATTTATCCCTGTTAAGGCTTCTGAGTGAGTTCTGGGGGTTAAGGACATCTATGTTCACTCTTCTTTTTGGATGTTTGTACGAAATTTGTAGGGAACTAGTAGGTGTATGTGTATGTGCCAAGACTAGGGCTTGAACTCAGGGTCTCTCACTCTTCCTTAGCCTTTTTTCCACTCAAGGTTGGCCACAGCTTCACTTCTGGCTTTTTGCTGCTGGTTATTAGAGGTAAGAGTTTTTTGGATTTGTCTGTTTGGCTAGCTCCTGAGATCCTCACAGCTTCCTGAGTAGCTAAGATTATGGGCATAAGCCACTAGCCACCCATGGCCAGCCTCTGCAGAACTTCTTTTGCCTCTTCTCCCAACTCTAAGATGAAAATGTGTTCTACCTTAAGTGACTTATTACCATTTGATCACAATAAATTTTGTAATCCTAAGGAAGATAGGAGACTTACTGATCAGTAGGCTGGGAGGAAGAGTCACCAAAAAAAGGAGGAAATTGAAGGAAGTTCACACTTTGAAAAAATATTTTTCCTAATATTTTCTCCAGAAATCACCCAGCCTTGCATCCTCATCCATCCCCAACACACATACCATTATCTCTTGTCTCTGAAGGTGCTCTTGATGATTTCGATAAAGCCAAACCCTCCCCAGCACCCCCTCCTACCACCACGGCCCCCGATGCTTCAGGGCCCCAGAAGAGATCGCCAGGAGACACTGCCAAAGTATAAATCCCAACCCCTGAAGGGTGAGGGAGGGGATGGGCATGAACCAGGCCCCTGTTGGCCTGAGGGAGGGCAGGGAGGGTGCCTTGGCCTCACATTGCTGAGTGCTATTACAGGCTTCAGTCCTCATGAAACAAGGACTTAAGGTTGTGTGGAGGGATCTCAAGGAAGGTCCTTGAGAAAACAGAAGACTTAAATGTTGGGTTAATATGCCACCTTATATTCTTTCTTCAATGGCCAAATGCTCTTCTTGCTGTCCTCATGAGTAAATAGAATATTCCATGGAGGGAGGGTAGAAGGGAGGTGCTGCATTTCCCAAAGATACTGCTTGGGCTTCTATAGAGACCAAGTATAGCACAATGCTGTAAGAGTTGCATTTTGGCCACTCCTTTTCTGCAGGATGCCCTCTTTGCCTCCCAAGAGAAGTTTTTCCAGGAATTATTCGACAGTGAGCTGGCTTCCCAAGCCACTGCAGAGTTTGAAAAGGCAATGAAGGAGTTGGCTGAGGAAGAGCCCCACCTGGTGGAACAATTCCAGAAGCTCTCAGAGGCTGCTGGGAGAGTGGGTGAGGAGATCCCAAATAAAGGGAAATATCTAAACAGGCCTCTTAAGGGTTTGTTGCTTGAAAATTAGTATTCTCTGTAAAGTTGGTAGCAGTCCTGTAGTTATAAACATGGGATGGGGCAAGGTAATGGGAGAAGGTCTGGGAACTTTGCTTAGTGAAAGGGGGAAGATAAGAACTAACACAATCCATGTAGATTTATGATATGACTGTGATGTGAAATCACTTCAAATATCTGAAGTGATCGCAATTTACCGGTGAATACTTTATGTCCAAGCCTATAACCAGATTAATTTAGACAAGCGAACACAATTCAAGACCTAAATAATCCTAGTTCTTTTTCTTTTCTTTTCTTTCTTTTTTTTTTTTGCCAGTCCTGGTGCTTGAACTGGACCTGAGCACTGTCCTTGAGCTTCTTTTGCTCAAGGCTAGCATTCTAACTACTTGAGCCACAGAGCTACTTCCAGCTTTCTCTGTACTGAGAAATTGAACCAGGGCCTTATGCATGGTAGGAAAGCACTCTACCACTAAGCCACCTTCCCAGCCCATAATCTTAGTTCTTTTGATCTCTTCTAGGTAGTGATGCAACCTCCCAACAAGAATTCACTTCTTGCCTAAAGGAGACATTAAGTGGACTAGCCAAAAATGCCACTGACCTTCAGGTAAGGAGTAGGGGTAGGGCACAATAAGCAGCCCACTCCCAGATACTTTATCAACAGTTTCAAAAGACAGATGCTTCTCACATATGTTTCTGCCTCAGTATTTTGTTACAGGCAAGTTTAGATGGTTCTTCTTTCTCATCTCACAGGGTAGTAAGCATCCCAGGAAGTTTTTATGCCTGATCACATATCTCTTGTGTTATCTAGAACTCAGGCATGTCAGAAGAAGAGCTGACCAAAGCCATGGAGGGGCTGGGCATGGATGAAGGGGATGGAGATGGGAACATCCTCCCCATCATGCAGAGCATCATGCAAAACCTACTCTCCAGGGATGTGCTATATCCATCACTGAAGGAGATCACAGAGAAGGTCTGTGAATTTGTACTGTTGCCTTTTCCCTTCACGCTCCAATATACTAACCTAAATGAGCTACTTTGCTCAGAGTGTCAGAGTACCTTGAATGTACAAGTCTCCTCCTTTCTTTATTGGTTGGGAGTGGGGGCAATTGTATCTTGGAAAGAAGAAAGGTACCACAATTGAGAAGGTGTGGGGTAGAAGGAGAAATGGTTCAGTTCTAGTTTTCTATAAACTGGGTCAAAACTCTAGGGCTGTCTTATCAGCCCCATGTATTTCATTTCTCCAATAAGGATTCACTGGGATTTACCACCTGTACATTAGTCAATTAAAGAGTAGTTTACCTGATTCCTGCCACCAGTGCACTTTTACAGAAGAGATAAAATATAAGAATAGAAGCTTTGGGCTGGGAAGGTGGCTCAGTGGTAGAGCGCTTGCTTTGCATGCCTGAGGCTCTGGGTTCAATTCCTCAGCATCACATAAGCAAAAAGAAAAAAGCCGGAAGTGGCGCTGTGGTTCAAGTGGTAGAGTGCTAGCCTTGAGCTGAAGAGCTGAGGGACAGCGCCCAGGCCCAGAGTTCAGGCCCCATAACTGGACCCCCCTCCCCCCCCCCCCAAAAGAAAAAAAAGAATAGAAGCTTTTCAGGGCTGGGAAGGTGGCTCAGTGGTAGAATGCTTGCCTTGCATGCATAAGGCCCTGGGTTCGATTCCTTAGCACCATATAAGCAGAAAAAGCTGGAAGTGGCACTGTGGCTCAAGTGGTAGAGTGCTAGCCTTGAGCTGAAGAGCTGAGAGACAGTGCCCAGGCCCAGAGTTCAGACCCCACGACTGACAAGAAAAAAAAGAATAAGCTTTTCAGTGACACAAGTCAGCATGTGGCAAAGTATGAAATTAATAGTACAAAGAGGCAACAGGCCAAGGTATGTGGGCCTAAGGCCAACTTTCAAAGAGTGTTTTTCACTTTTTTTTAATTAGAAATTATACTTTATTACTCCCCCATTCCTCACTGCCTCCCTCCCCCAACTGGGGTCTAAACTCTTCTTCTTGTTAGGCAGGTACTCTACCACTTGAGTTAATATTCCTAATCCGTCGTTTTTACATTTTTACATTTTGTTTTTTGGGTTTTTGTTTTGTTTTGTTTTTCCTGGGGCTTGAACTCAGGGCTTGGGTGCTGTCCCTGAGCTTCTTTTGTTCAAGTCTAGCACTCTCCCACTTGAGCCACAGCACCACTTCTGGCTGAGGTATAGGACTTCATTTGTGCTAGGCATACACTCTACATTAAGCCACATTCCCAGCCCGATTTTTTTTTTTTTTTTTTTGGTCGGTCATGGAGCTTGAACTCTGGCTCTGGACACTGGCCCTCAGCTCTTCAGCTCAAGGCTAGTACTCTGCTACTTGAGCAACAGTGCCACTTCCAGTTTTCTGAGTGGTAATTATGGGAGTCAAGAGTCTCATGGACTTTCCTGCCTGGGCTGGCTTTGAACCGCAATCCTCAGATCTCAGCCTCCTGAGTAGCTATGATTACAGGCATGAGCCAGGAGTGCCCGGCTTCCCAGCCCATTTTTTTTTTTTTTTTTTTCATATAATCTACTCTTTTTTTTTTTTTTAATTTATTTTGTTATATTTGTGAACATACTGTACAGAGGGGTTACAATTACATGGGCAGGATAATGCGTACATTTCTTACCAAGCATTGCAGCCTCCTCCTTTGTTTACCCTTCACATCCCTTCCCAGCCTCCCCCCTCCCCCCCAGTCCCCCCCTCCCCCCCAGTCCCCATCCTTCCACCACCCCCCACCCTCCCCACCCCCCCACTCCCCACCCCCGCACTGACATTGTAAAGCTCATTATGGACATGACAACTTGTACTTCTCATTTTTGCAACAGGTCCACCTGTATGCTTAAACGACTTGTTTTTCCCACAAGTTATACTGACATCAAATATAGTGAAAGCAGGGGTTATATTGTGGGGGAGGGACATACAAAGCAACAAAGAAATAATCTTATAAATGCATTAGAAACACATGCATGAAAGAAAAAAACATTAAAATACATATCTAAGCGTTCATTTTCCTAAGATCACATTATCTGACCTTTTCCGCTTGACTCATACATATACTAGATATTGCAAATAAGGGAAACCATGGGGCCTATGTTTCTTTGGGCCTGTCCCAGCCCAATTTTTAAGGATTTAAAAACAATAGTAAGGGCTGGGAAGGTGGCTCAGTGGTAGAGCGTTTGCCTTGCATGCCTGAGGCCCTGGGTTCGATTCCTCAGCACCACATAAGCAAAAAGAAAAAAAGCCGGAAGCGGCGCTGTGACTCAAGTGGTAGAGCTCTCGCCTTGAGCTGAAGAGCTGAGGGACAGCGCTCAGGCCCAGAGTTCAGGCCCCACGACCAGACCCAAAAAAAAAAAAAACAATAGTAAGGGGCTGGGGAGGTGGCTCAGTGGTAGAGCACTAGCCTTGAGCTGAAGAGCTAAGGGACAGCACCAGGCTCAGAATTTCAAGCCCCACAACCGACTATAAAAAAAGAAAGAAAGAAATAGTTTGTCAGTCTCTACTGATCATAATTTACAATCAGGCGATGTGTTGGAATCAGTGCTATTTGTCGTGTTGAACTTGCTTGTTTTCTTTTTCCTGTGTCCCTTTTTTCTTGACAATTCATGTATTATTCCTCCCCCCCCCCATCCCCATTGTTCACTTAATTCTTCCTCATCCATTTTCTTTTTCTTTAGTATCCAGAATGGTTGCAAGATCATCGGGAATCTCTACCTCCAGAACAGTTTGAAAAATATAAAGAGCAGCACAATGTCATGTGCAAAATCTGTGAGCAGTTTGAGGCAGAGACACCCACAGACAGTGAGGCAACACAGAAGGCACGTTTTGAGACGGTGCTCGATCTTATGCAGCAGGTAGGCCTCGTCTTGCTGTCTTCCCACTGGAACTGTCTACTTGAGTGTTAAGTGGAGAAAGTATTGGGGAATGATGCTACACCAAACTTGGGTAGAGAAGGGAGCACAAGAGAAACCACATAGCATGGTCAGAAGAAGACAGAGAGCTAATCAAATGCATTTTTCTGACCTCTTCTGTTTTCTGTGATTTGTTTATGATTTTTTTTTTTTGCCAGTCCTGGAGCTTGAACTCGGGGCCTGGGCACTATCCAAGTATCTCTGTGCTCAAGGCTAGCACTCTACCACTTGAGCCATAGTACCACTTCCGGCTTTTTCTGTTTATATAGTACTGACAAATGGAACCCAGGGCTTCATGTATGCTAGGCAAGCACCCTACTGCTAAGACACATTCCCAGCCCCTGTTTATGATTTAAGATTTCATATTCTCTTAATTTTCAGCTACAGGATTTGGGCCATCCTCCAAAAGAGCTGGCTGGGGAAATGGTGAGTATGTGTCCTCTTGGATTTTAATTTGGCCCCTGGCTTCCATAATTCTGTAAACTCCAGTGTTTCTATCTAGGGTGATAATTGTGGATGCAGGGGATGGGTTGTCAGAAGCTCTGACTTGAATGAAGTATGAGCAATTATCTGAGTCCCTTTGTCTTTTCTCCAGCCTCCTGGTCTCAACTTTGACCTGGATGCCCTCAATCTATCGGGTCCACCAGGTGCCAGTGGTGAGCAGTGTCTGATCATGTGAAACACAGCGCGCTTTCTTCCCTGAGTCCCAGCCATGGGGAACATCTGGAGTCAGCAGAACCATGAGAACTGAGGCAGGAGTGTCATCTGTGGGAATGGTCTGCTCACTGCCCCATCGTCCTATTCAAGACTGTGCCATATCAGCTGAGCCTTTCCCTCTGTTTTTCTAGAAATGGGATCTTTACCATAGGCCATTTTGTGAGCCCTATTGTGGTTTCTGCTGCTAGAAAAGGCCTAGCTAAAGAAGGTATCCTTCTTGGGGCATGTACCTTCTTCCCTTTCCCAAAATAATGTTAAATATGGCCACACTCATGTTCACCTTTTCTCCTGGGGTCTTTGTGCCTTGTTTCTACTCCTTTCCTTGGAATTGGGGAGCAGGGGCAGAGTACATAATTCACCAAAAGAAAAGAACTTTAATATGTAATCACAATGGGATTGGAAGAGAAGCCTTAGGCTTTTTCTTTCTCTAGGTGCTGAGCCCTCAACTCCCTATTCCAGCCTGGGAATTCAAGTTGCTACCCTTGTTCTTTCTACAATGCCATGTGATCGGGATGAATCCAGCCTCTGACCTTCCTTTGTCCTGTATCTGTCCTTATCTCTTTTTAAATTCTTGTTTATTCTAAACCTGTGCCCAAGCTGTAACAAAAGAAGACCCATCCTGTTCCCCCTCATCCAATATAACCACCAGTCTCACTAGTTCCTTCCCTCCTACTCAGGCAAAGACATAATTGTCCTGTTAAGTCTGACAAATGAATGGCCTTTCTACACAGATACATTGTGGCTTATTTGAGACAACTGATTCCCTTAGAATACTTGGTTTAGGAAAGTGCTTAGGAAAGGGGTGCAGTTTGGGGCAGTTCTAATAAATACTGAGTGAGGAATGTGGCCTATTTTTCATCTAGGTCTTTTTTCGGGCTTTCCCAACTTCTGTAAGCTGCAGAATGTGGATGTTAGGAGATAGTTCTGTGTATGGTACATGCTGTGCTTCCTTGGTCCCCCAACTCAGTCTTCATCTCACTTGGCAAAGGAGACTGGACAGCTGTTTGTTCTCATTTCCTGAGTATTTCAGTCTGGGAAGCTCTTGAATAGTCGTTATATTTTATTTTATTTATTTATTTTTTGGGTCTGGTTGTGGGGCCTGAACTCTGGGCCTGGGCGCTGTCCCTGAGCTCTTCAGCTCAAGGCTAGCGCTCTACCACATGAGCTACAGCGCCACTTCCGGCTTTTTTCTTTTTGCTTATGTGGTGCTGAGAATCGAACCCAGGGCCTCATGCATGCAAGGCAAGCTCTCTACCACTGAGCCTTCTTCCCAACCCTTATTTTATTTTTTTATGCCAGTCTTGGGGCTTGAATTCAGGGCCTAGGCTCTATCCCTGAGCTCAGGGCTACCACTCTACCTAATCTTTCATATGTCAACTCCACTTCTGGCTTTTTGTGGTTAATTGGAGTTATAAGAGTTCCATGGAGGGGCTGGGAAGATAGCTCAGTGGTAGAGTGCTTGTCTTGTATGCATGAGGCCTTGGGTTCAATTCCTCAGTACCACATAAGCCAGAAGTAGCTCTGTGGCTCAAGTGGCAGGGTTAGCCTTCAGCTGAAGAGCTGAGGAACAGCACGCAGGCCCAGAGTTCAATCAATAAATAGAGTTCCATGGACTGTCCTGCCAGGACTGGCTTTGAACCACAATCCTCAAATCTCAGCCTCCTGAACAGCTAGGATTACAAGCTAGAGCCACTGGCACCTGGCCCTATATGTTAATTGTATGTATTGTAACTATGTTAGAAATATGTTGTTAATATGTTTCTAAATTAGCTGTCTTTGAACTGACTGCTCTTTTCATTGACTTTAAGGACCTTGCTGTTACATGTTTGGTCAGCCCAGATGGCTGTCCTGATTCACTGTCCTAATTTATACTCATTATCTGAGTCACTTTGAGCTCCTGATATTTTTTTCCCCCTGGATTACAACTTTTTACCTTTACATATGCCACACCTTCAGTGTCATTGAAAGACGGGAAATGTTCTTGGGGCTTTAGGCTATTTGGGCAACTCCGGGTATCACATTATTAGAGCATGGAAGAACCAGGTCTGAATGAGAGAGTCCTCAATTCTTTGAGGGATGAAGCATACTTGTGATAATAATTGTGGGGCCTAAATATCAGATTCCTTAAAACACCAACCAAAAACTCAACAAAGATAGAGCAGAAATGGCCTGCCCTTTGAACTGTCCCACCAGTTTTCTTTTATAGATTCTTATTTTTAGTGGTCTAATATTGGCATATTTGAGGAATGTAAAGGACACTTGAGTCCATTTTAGCTTTATTCCTAAGGTACTCGTGTGTGTGTGTGTGTGTGTGTGTGTGTGTGTGTGTGTGTGTGTGTGTGTGTGTGTGTGTGTGTTTACTGGAGGTTGAACTCAGGGCCATGGCACTCTTAGCTTTTTCTGCCCAAGACTGGCACTTGAGCCATAACTCTACCATGGCTTTTTGGTAGTTAACCGAAAATAATAGTCTCATAGACTTCTCTGCCTTGACTGGCTTCAAACTGCAATCCTCAGATCTCAGCCTCCTGTGTAACTGTAATTATTTTTCCTATGTAACTGTAATTGTTTCTTTGGGTTTTTTTGTCGGTTGTGGGGCTTGAACTCTGAGTGTGGGCACTCTCCCTGCGCTCTTCAGCTCAAGGCTAGCACTCTACCACTTGAGCCACAGCACTACTTCTGGTTTTTTCTGTTTATGTGGTGATAGAAATCTAACTCAGGGTCTCATGCATGTGAGGCAAGCACTCTACCACTGTGCCAACTTCCCAGCCCCTTGTTATTTTTAATTTGATTGAACATAAGCCAACCAACAATGCCCAAACTATTTTTTTTTTTTTTTGGTCTGAAACCAGAACTTGAACTTGTTATGGAGCCACACCTCCAGTCCCAATTTTTTGTTTGTTTTTTTGCCCCAAACTATTCCATGTGTAATAGGTTTTGTCCACTGGTTATGTAATTGGATATATAGCAATGTAGTGTCAAATTCTAAAAAGTATATCAACACTGAATTTTTATTTATTTTTTGTCACTTATGGGGCTTGAACTCTGGGCCTCAGCTCTTCAGCTCAAGGAGAGCACTCTACCACTTGAGCTACAGCGCCACTTCTGGTTTTCTGAGTGTTTATTGGAGAAAAGAGTTTCACGGACTTTCCTGCCCGGGCTTGGCTTTGAACTGCTATCCTCAGATCTCAGCCTCCTAAGTAGCTAGGATTACAAGTGTGAGCCATCGGCACCCGGCTTTATTTTTATTTTTTGCCACTGAATTTCTAGGCTAGTCTAGAGCATAACACCAAGACCCTATCTTTTTTTTTTTTTTGCTAGTCTTGGAGCTTGGACTCAGGTCCTGGGCACTGTCCTTGAGCTTCTTTTGCTCAAGGCTAGCACTCTACCACTTGAGCCACAGTGCCACTGCTAGCTTTTTCTGTTTATGTGGTACTAAGGAATTGAACCCAGGGCTTTATGCAAGTGCTAGGCAAGCACTCTACCACTAAGCCACATTCCCAGCCCAAGACCTCATCCTGAAGATAACCAACACAGCCAGGTGCTGGTGGCTCATGCCTGTAATCCTAGCTATTGGAGGCTGAGATCTGAGGATAACTGTTTGAAATCAGTCCAGACAGAAAAGTCTATGACACTCTTATCTCCAATTAACCACCAGAAAACCAAAAGTGGAGTTGTAGCTCAAAGTAGTAGAGCACTATCCTTAAAAGGCTCAGGGTTAGTGCCAAGACCCTGAGTTCAAGCCCCATGACCAACAAAAAGAAAAAAGAACCAATGCGAAAAAAGCTGGAGTGCTTCAAGTGACAGAATACCTGCTTAGCCATCTTGAAGCCCTAAATTCAAACCTCAGTATCAGCATAAATAAATAAATAGTTTACATTGTCCATTCTGTCAGCAACAGAAACTTAATGCACAGCCCCTGGTTCAGTACTACTCAAGGAGAACAACCAGCTGATTATAATAAACATTTTTCTATTTGGGAAATGATAAATGTTTATCCTAACCAGGATTAATACATACCCTGCTCTTCCTGCTCTGCCTACAGTACCTCAGACCGTACTACTATTCAAGAAGTTGTGGTTATTGCTGATTCTACATAATTATGCCATGGAACAAAAGACCCACTTAATGACAAAATGTGTAGCAGTAGACATATGACTATGTATATACCAGTTGGATTTCATAATCCTACCAAATACTTCCCATGGAGAAGTTGCGGGCCTCGTAGAAGTGAGAAAGCTGGGTGTGGGTGTGTGGGTGTACACACTACTAGAGTTTCAACTCAGGTCCTCACCAATTGCACTTTTTTTTCTTTTTTCGTCGTGGGGCTTGAACTCTGGGCCTGGGCACTGTCCTTCAGCAATTAAGCTCAAAGCAAGTGCTCTCTCACTTAAGCCACAGAGCCACTTTGGGTTTTCTAGTGGTTAACTGGAGATAAGAGTCTTAAGGACTTTCCTTCCCAGGTTGGGTCCGGTCGTGGGTCTGATCTCTGGGCCTGGGCGCTGTCACTTAGCTCTTCAGCTCAAGGCTAACACTCTACCACTTGAGCCACAGCGCCACTTCCGGCTTTTTTATTTTTTCTGCTTATGTGGTGCTGAGGAATCGAACCTAGAGCCTCATGCATGCAAGGCAAGCTCTCTACCACTGAGCCACCTTCCCAGCCCCTGAAATGACTTTTTGAAGGAGCAGTTCCATCAAGTATAGAGTAGCATATTTCACAATTCCGTGTGAACCCTCTTGGCTGTATTGGGACGTTCTACAGGTCTGGAGACCCTGGTTTCCAACCTAAGAATCTCAGTAAACTAATAATGGTTACCATCTTATCACTTTGGGCTTCTAATGTCAGCTGATTTACCAGGCAAAGAAAAGGCAGTGTACAGTCTGGGATAATTGACTATGAGAAGGTAAGACAATAACATAATGGAAGCAGAGAGGCAAGCATGTTAGTATGAGAAGGTAAGACAATAACATAATGGAAGCAGAGAGGCAAGCATGTTTGTATGAGAAGGTAAGACTATAACATAATGGAAGCAGAGAGGCAAGCATGTTAGTATGAGAAGGTAAGACTATAACATAATGGAAGCAGAGAGGCAAGCATGTTAGGTATATGTGATCCCCTGGTGTATCTCTAGGCTTTTCATGTTTAGTTTTAGCAGTCGGTAAATAACAATTATAACCTGCTAAGAGTGTGACCTCCAGGGCTCAGGGATGAGAGTCTAGGTCACCCCACCAAGTAAGCCACTTAGACCAGTGTGTAAGCTGCTAATAGCTCATAGCTGCTTTATTGAGAATTATCCTGTGCCAATAACAGTGAAGTCTGGACATTCTTGGGGGTATACTCTGCCAGAGAGAGGAGTATGGTGTCCATTTTTATAAGGAAGGCAATTGGGATTGTGGTAGAGGTTGCATTATCAGTGGTTATGTGCAATCAGACAATACCATCATGCAAAATTCCCACCTTTCCTCTAGGTGGGACACTTGTACCATTTATCTTCCACTGTTCCCAGTGTAGATTTACCAGTCACTGTCTTTGCCTTTCTCTCTGCCATATCTTTATCCTTCACTTCCTCAGAGGTTTTACTGGAGAACACTCCCTCAACAAACCACCTGAAATAAATCTCTTTCCTAATCCCAACCTAAAACTGGAGAATAATGGTGCTGATTAAGATAAAAAGTAGCAAGGCTTCGGTGGCTCAGGTCTATTATAGTTACACAAGAAGCTGAGATCTGAGGATCATGATTTGAAGCCAGACCAGAGGAAAATGTGTGACACTTTTTTTTTTTTTGCCAGTCTGGGCACTGTCCTTGAGCTTCTTTTGCTCAAGGTTAGCACTCTACCTCTAGAGCCA